GCCCGAATGGTGAAGACGAGACGATAGGCTGTCATAAAAAAAAGAAATGCAAGAAAGATGAATTTACATGTACAAATGGCGAATGCGTCAGTATAAAAAGTCATTGTAATTGGCATTACGATTGCACCGATCAGTCGGACGAAGAGAATTGCATAAAACCGAAATGCACAAATGGTAATACAGTGACAAGTGTTGCATGCAATTTTTTTTCTACTTTATTGTCTATCATCATAATTATATTGAAATACGAAGATAGAATGAATATCTGAATGAACTCGTAATCTTTATCTCTCTGAATATCTCTGAATATATTTTGACTATACTTATACAATCGCAGTCGTGCGTTTATTCATGCTAAGAGCAAATTCTTTTTAGATGAATTTCAATGTCGCAACGGGGTAACTCCTTGTATATCGAAGTCATTACTATGCGACGGCGATGTAAGTAGCAATTATATCATATCCACTTAAAGGGATCTTCTACATTAGAGAGTCAAAAAATTCGATTTATGAAAAAAAAAATAGTACAACTCTTCAAGAATATGTCCTTAAAATTTTAGAGCGAAATTTGAAATCTTTCGGTATAAATTCGGCGCTTGTATGTACAGGCTACATATACAGGATGTATGTACATTGAAAACTTTAAATGCGTTTTTCTCGAAATCATTTTTTGCATTTTCTTCAATTTTGTGTACATGATTGAGAAAAAAAAGTATTTTTCCGATCAACTTCTTTTAGGGTTCATTTTTTAGGTAATAATCAACCTATTGTAAACCTAAAAAATTAAATAAAAATCAACTTTAACAATTTTTTTGCATAAAAAAATGGCTGCCTAATGAAAATCGTAATTTTTTTCTTCAGTCGTACAAAATTGTAATTTATATAGTTTTTTTAGATTTTTTAGATTTATATAGGATGATATTCTATACAAATTAAAAATCTTTTTTGATTTTTTGGTTCAGGTAAGAATTACAGCCGCTAGGATGTACACAAAATTGTTACGTCATGATGAATCAAACTAAATATTTATGTTTTTATTATTTAGAATATTTCTTTCCATATAAAAATTTGTACTCTACAATAGTTATATTAAAATATGCAAAAAAATTTGAAATCAATAAATATTAATCTTCTTCATGAAAAAACAATTTATAAAAGATTATCTTATTTTCGGCCTGCTAATGTAAGAGACCCCCTTAATGCAATATTTATATGTAACTTTTTATTTTATAAAATCAGATGTTAATAATAGTTGTTAATTTAGAGTACAGTTTTGCAAAAAAAGCTGTCAGAAAAATGAATAGAAATAAATTAACAATTTCAAGAAATTGCATTTTTCTATTTTTCCAAATCAACAAATATGAGCTTTTTGATTAATTTCTTTCGTATATAACACAGCTTATTCCAATAATATTACTTCAAACTACATCGTTTCAACAATATTGAAATAACATTGAAAATATTACAGCAATATTCTTTTTGCAATTCTGTGCTATATGGATTACTCAATATGTCAATGTTTTTTTATATATTTGTATTTAAGTTTGATTGTGAGGACGGATCGGATGAAAGACCTGAGGCATGTAAATCAAACGCATCATGTTTGAATGATAAATTCCAATGCAACGATGGTAATTGCATATCTCTTTCGCTGAAGTGTAATGGCATCGACGATTGCCTCGATGGCAGTGACGAAAGGCATTGCTTAGCGAAATCAGTTTATTTGACTAATTGCACTGCGGATAAATATCGGTGTCTCGACACTTATTTGTGTCTTCCTAAAAAAGTAAAGTAAGTTGATAATTTAAAAATATGTAAGAGAGTAGTCGGTGAACAATATGCATACGAACATTAAAATGTTGCTTTAATTTACTCGTTTTTCATGAAGATGTCTTCTAATTGTAGAGTTTGTTATGCAAGCAGATAGTTATAAGCGTTATAGAAAAAAACCAATTATAATCTCACTTATTAAAATGCGCTGTATTGATTATTCTTTCCTTGCAGATGCGATGGCAAAAGTGATTGTCCTAAAAACGATGATGAGCACAATTGCGTGTTTTGCTTTGACAATGAATTTACTTGCGACAATGCGGAGTGCATTCCGGAGAATTGGGTATGCGATCAGTCTGACGATTGCGGTGATAATTCAGATGAAAAAAATTGCGACGGTAGTAAAAAGACCATCATGGAATCTACCAAATGTGATGAATTCAAATGTTCTATCGGCACTTGCTTGCCGTACAGCAAAGTATGCGATGGGAATCGAGATTGCCCAGATGGTAGCGACGAAAATGGGAAATGTCGTATGTAGTTAATCTTTCTTGATTAATAAAAACTCTCCCTGCCAAAAATTCTTTTGCCGAGAAAAAGAAACTATTTAGAGCATTTTTACTTTTTGAACAATAAATAAGAGATGATGAAATTAAAAGAGACAAAAAATTGCAGAATTTCAAAAAAATCTAAGAAAATTCTTAAATATCTTAATTTTCTTATATGTGTTAATATATACGATATTTACAGATTGCGTTATATTTTTTTGTGTAGAGATCGCATGTATGGTGAACAATTTTTGTAAAGGCCTATGTTACAAGACACCAAAAGGAGATGTTTGCGGCTGCCCATATGGATATCGTTTAGCTGCTGATGCGACTTCTTGCGAGGACATAAACGAATGCGAAAACGATGTTTGCTCGCAATTTTGTCGGAATACAGTAGGTTCTTTCGAGTGTTCTTGTCAAGAGGGATATTACCTTAGAAACAAAGTTTCTTGCAAAGCTATTGGTAAGTGGTTTCAATTAAATATTTGCAAACTTAAATATTTAAAGCAATAAACATCATTATTTAGGGCCGGCAATGGAATTTATCACCGTAACTGATAATGATATTAGGAAGATCTCATCTAATTTACACTCAATTGATAAGATCTATTCATTATCGGGATTGAGTATAAACGGACTCGACGTGAACGCTGTTCACGACTCTATTTACTGGAGTAACGGTTAGTGTCTCTTTTTGTTTCGATCTTATTTCTTAGTCCTATTGCTCGTGATTGACTTCTCTCATATACTTATGCGCACGCTGATTGTACAGTCATATGGGACCTACAGTTTAATGCCGAATCTGAATGGCGCTGATGATAAAGATCTCATATAATTACTAGATGGAGTCATTTTCCGACTCCTTAACGCGAGCATACGTGGGATCGAACCCGGATCTGTAGATCGCGAGTCAATCGCTGAGTAAGCCACTCGAGATGCTCCCTATCAACATAATAAATAACTTAATTTATAAGATTGAATAATAGAGCAAGTGTGGCAAAGCGCACTGATTTGCTATGCTAGAGATCCCGAGTTCGATTCTTGATAGAATTAAAATATTTTTATACGCTTTCGGAAGGAAGTCTCCTCTCGAAAGGAAATGGCAACTCATCGAGAGTATTTTTGCCAAGAATACTTCTCTAAAATTTCGTTGTTTGGATATATTCGTTGTATGGATTCCTCCAGGCTGGAGATTAGATATCAGTGAATGTGTATGTGTATGGATCCCTTTTTTCAGGCTGAAAGTTAGATATTAGATTAATTCCAGAAAATCCATTGTTACGAAAATCTCATAAGAGGTAGGCCGTGTCCTGTTTTGGGATGTTGCGCTTTTAATGATGATGATGATGATGATGATGATTATCTTTATAGAGCACAAAATCCAAAAAATTTCCTCCAAAAAATTGAAAAAAATCTTTTAAAAAAATTATATTATTCAATTAAATATTATAAAAAGAACAATTGCAGGTGAATTCGGTACTATTAAAAAACTCAATATTAAAACAAAGAAAGTAACCACAATTATGATTGTCGAGCATCCACAGTCACTTGCGGTCGATTGGATTACTGATAACGTTTACGTCAATGATAATGGCTATTTGAATACGATTAAGGTATATTTTTATTAATATTAAATCAGGGGAATGTGATTTAAATATTCATTTAATTAATCAATTTTAAAGGTATGCAATTTGGAGAAAGAAAAATGTGCGACGCTGATCGAGATAGAAGAAAAGGCAAAAGTAGTGTCTATTGTTGTTGACTCAATTAATAGGTACCTCTTTTTTATTCCACTTATAATTTTCTTATTGTTTTTTTATCAAATAAACTTATCAATTCAACATTAATAATATCGTCGTTAGAGTTTAAGAACATACTTCAAAATCGCTTTTGATATTATAGATGGCTATTCTGGACTCAAATAACGTGGCAAATGGACGTGCCATTTAGCAAAATATGTCGAACGGACATGATGGGTGCCGACATGAAAATTATTGGTTCCGATGTAAGCTTTGTGAGCGGAATAGCAATTGATCATATAAAATCTAAATTATACTGGTCAGACAGTTTCAGTAAAACTATTGAATCATCCAATTTTGATGGAAGCCAACGTAGTATGTTTTTAAGAACAAATGTACGTTGATAGATTCATTTTTTTATACAAAAACATATTGAGAAAATACAAGAACTTTGTGTGAATGAATTTAATCTTTTTCTTTCTTTAAAATAATATTTCTCTTTTTAGATGTATTATCCGTTTGGTATCAGTATTTATGAACAATCACTTTATTGGTTGATGGATACAAGCGGTCAACTGCAAAGTTGTAAACTGTATGGTAAAAAATCATGCGAAACAATAAATATAGGCAAAAACAATGTTCATAAACAGTTTGCCATTCTTCATATTTCCAGACAACCTGTTGGTTGGTATAACATAATATTTAAAAATTCTAGCTATCTTAAAATCTTATGTATACTAAACTTGATAGAGTTATTAAGTAAAATTAAATTATATGTATTTATTCGGCAGATAAAAATCCTTGCGATGAAAAGTATTGCGACTATATGTGCGTTTTGAAGAAGGACAATGCAACGTGTATTTGTTTAGATGGCAAATCGATAGAATCCAATAATATTTGCACAAATATGAATAATGGGCGGACATCATTTAAAAATTTAACAAGAAATGCACGATACACAAGTGGTCTTTATAGCCTAATAATAATTGTATTACTAATTATTGTTCTGTCATTATGTATTTATTACTACTATCAGAAAAACAGATTAAAATCAAAATCGATGAACAATCTTAGGTACGTTCCAAATTTATTTTAATGTTGAATTTAAGTAGGAATTGATCGTTAAAAGAGTAATATAAAATATTATTTTTATGTAAAAATTATACAGTGATTTTTAATAGTTGCAGCAGCATTCACTTCCATAATCCGTCATACGATCGAAGCAACGAGGTTGAGGTAACACTCAACTCAATAGTTGCAGGCTTATCTCCTGGACAGCATGAATACGTTAATCCTATCGATAATAAATTTCTAAATTTAAAGGTAAATAGCAATTTTACACTTAAACGATATTATTTTTTATGATTATACGTATGATTACATTTATTGAATTATAATACCTACTTTTTTTCTAAACTTTTGTACATTCACATGAGATATACGTGCGATTGCACGAAATAACTATTTATTATGATTAAAGATAATTTACGCAATTATCTAGTAGGTAGGTTATTATAGATTTAAATATATAATAGATTTAATATATAATTAA